GTATCTCAGACAACAGTTTGGATAACAATTAATGTAAAAATGTAACAAGTATATCCATCCCAGGGCTAAATTATTGCCAGGATTTGCTGATCTGATCATTTTATTTTTTGAATGTTTGAGGTAAAGATAATGTAACCTTGTTGTTGCTTATGTTTCCTATACTATTATAATTAGATAACTTAAATAAGAATATCAGTGAATACAAAAAAGCCATAATGCCCCTATCACTCTCTCTCTAGATAAACTGCTGGAGAAGATTATATTTGTTCAATTTCATAGTAGGTTATTAGGGTGTTTCATTTTGACCCGATTGAGATGATTTATACAACTTTTGGTAGGCAATGTTACATGCCAAATACCTAAGCTTTGGCCATAGTATTTTATTATGAAATGTTTTTCAAGGTATTCCCTATATAGAATCCTAGACCTCTTTTAGTTTTAAAAACTGGTTTCAAGGTAGGGAGGTTTTGTTGGTAAAAACAGTGAACAACAAAAAACATGACATCACAAGAGCTCACCTTTAAGTAATTTGTGCTCAGATGAGTGGTCCATTTTATTAAATATATTTCTGAGATCCAGTTTCATCGTCTATTTTAAAGTGTTTCCATTTGTTAGGACAATGCTATCACTTCATAATAACAAAAAAAGCCTCTGAAACTGGTGTTTGTAACATGTGTGCTAAATCAGAAGTCTTATAGATGTCTGAAAAATCAGTGTCTATGTTTCTCTTTTATCTGTTTTCCTTTTAAATGAGTGATTTTAGGAGCATTTTTCTATATTTGTTTGATTAACGGAGATGTAAAAGCGATATATATTATGTTTACATTGACATCATACAGTTTGTGTCTAATTACTTATCTAAAGTTGTCTAATTAGGCAGACAGCCAATAATTCAAGATCTGTTTATCAATCAAAGGACTTGGCAACAATTTTTTGGATTATGAAAAAAAAAAATTAAAAAAAAAAAAAAAACGGGGGGGGGGGGGGGGGTGGGTGAATAGTAAAACTTCTTGATTTCTGCAATCTTTCCTCATAGTAACTATGTAATGCTATGCTACTGTACAGCATGATCAGGATGGCTAACTACTGCAGACTGTTATATTCTTGATAGATGCACTAGAAACAACTAAACGCGTATTGTAGTATTTTTTATGTAAACTCTCACAACTTTTCAGTACTTCAATGATACAACATTCAAGAAATATAATATATAATGTTTTTGTTTTTTTTTCTGATTTACTTAACAAATCAAAAACTATATTTTGACGATTGCACACATTCCAAAAACATTTTCTGTCATGATTAGTGAAGATGTGAATTGTTATCAGCTATCTAAATGACCACCCATCAGCTATCTTAATGACCACCCATCAGCTATCTAAATGACCACCCATCAGCTATCTAAATGACCACCCATCAGCTATCTAAATGACCACCCATCAGCTATCTAAATGACCACCCATCAGCTATCTAAATGACCACCCATCAGCTATCTAAATGACCAGCCATCAGCTATCTAAAAGACCACCCATCAGCTATCTAAATGACCACCCATCAGCTATCTAAATGACCACACCCATCAGCTTCTAAATGACCACCCATCAGCTTCTAAATGACCACCCATCAGCTATCTAAATGACCACCCATCAGCTATCTAAATGACCACCCATCAGCTTCTAAATGACCACCCATCAGCTATCTAAATGACCACCCATCAGCTATCTAAATGACCACCAATCAGCTATCTTAATGACCACCCAATCAGCTATCTAAATGACCACCCATCAGCTATCAAAATGACCACCTATAAGCTATCTAAATGACCACCCATCAGCTATCTAAATGACCACCCATCAGCTATCTTAATGACCACCCATCAGCTATCTAAATGACCACCCATCAGCTATCTAAATGACCACCAATCAGCTATCTAATGACCACCCATCAGCTATCTAAATGACCACCCATCAGCTATCTAAATGACCACCCATCAGCTATCTAAATGACCACCCATCAGCTATCTAAATGACCACCCATCAGCTATCTAAATGACCACCCATCAGCTATCTAAATGACCACCCATCAGCTATCTTAATGACCACCCATCAGCTATCTAAATGACCACCCATCAGCTATCTAAATAACCACCTATCAGTTATCTAAATGACCACCCATCAGCTATCTAAATGATCACCCATCAGCTATCTAAATGACCACCCATTAGCTATCTAAATGACCACCCATCAGCTATCTAAATGACCACCCATCAGCTATCTAAATGACCACCCATTAGCTATCTAAATGACCACCCATTAGCTATCTAAATAACCACCCATCAGCTATCTAAATGACAACCCATCAGCTATCTAAATGATCACCCATTTATTTTTTTATTCAAAAACCTCTAAGTTTAATCATATTTTAATGTACACATTTTAATGCATAAATGAAAAACAAAAAAAATATTACTAAAAATATAGCACAAATGTCTGACTCATGGGCATCAGTGACTTTGATTAAAAGTACAAAAACTTAACTATAATGCTACAAGTCTAAGATGTCATTCGTTAGTTACAAGTACTTTCATATTATTCAACTTATTTATCTAATCTGGCACAATGAGAAATGAGAGTGATAACAGGATAAATGTCACCAGTAAATGTCAATAGTTAGAAATACTCTCAAAAATTATATTATACAAATATAATTTATACTTCTTCAAGTGTCAGTCATTGTTACTGTCTATGGATATATTAAAACAATATATTAAAATAGAGATCAGGGACAATGCTACTTTTTGTCAAGCATACATTTATTGTCAAGAAGTAATTGTTTACAAGTAATTACCAGGTGGTTATTATTGTCAAATTATCAAGTACACAATGGTTGTCAAGATTATTTGTTTACAATATTATCTTCTAGTATACCATTATTGTCAAATATACAAATGTTCTCAATTATAAAATGGTTGTCAAGTGTACCATGGTTGTCAAGTATATGTTTTTGTTCAGCATACTATTGTTGTCAAGCATAATAATATAGATGTCAAGCACACAAAAGTCAACAAGTGTGCAACTTTTATTATAAGTGCAACTATTGTCAAGGATACATCGGTGGTCAAGTGTATGGAAATTGTTGTCAAGGATACAACTATTGTCAAGGATACAATTATTGTCAAGTGTATGGTAATTGTTGTCAAGTGTATGAAAATTGTTGTCAAGTGTATGGTAATTGTTGTCAGGTGTATGTAAATTGTTGTCAAGTGTATGGTAATTGTTGTCAAGTGTATGGAAATTGTTGTCAAGGATACAATTGTTGTCAAGTGTATGGAAATTCTTGTCAAGGATACAATTTTGTCAAGTGAATGGAAATTGTTGTCAAGTGTATGGTAATTGTTGTCAAGTGTATGGTAATTGTTGTCAAGTGTATGGTAATTGTTGTCAAGTGTATGGAAATTGTTGTCAAGAATACAATTGTTGTCAAGTGTATGGAAACTCTTGTCAAGGATACAATTTTGTCAAGTGAATGGAAATTGTTGTCAAGTGTATAGTAATTGTTGCCAAGTGTATGGAAATTGCTGTCAAGTGTATGGAAATTGTTGTCAATGATACAATTGTTGCCAAGTGTATGGTAATTTTTGTCAAGTGTATGGAAATTGTTGTCAAGTGTATGGTAATTGTTGTCAAGGATACAATTGCTGTCAAGTGTATGGAAATTGTTGTCAATGATGCAATTGTTGTCAAGTGTATGGAAAGTGTTGTCAATGATACAATTGCTGTCAAGTGTATGGAAATTGTTGTCAAGGATACAATTTTGTCAAGTGAATGGAAATTGCTGTCAAGGATACAATTGTTGTCAAGTGAATTGTTAAAGACACATTTGTTGTACAGTGTGCAATAGTTGACAGATGTACCAATATTGTCAAATGTGCAAATGTTGTCAAGTGTATGTTAATTGTTGTCAAGTGTATGTTAATTGTTGTCAAGTGTAAGGTTATTGTTGTCAAGTATAAAATTGTTGTCAAGTGTATGGTTATTGTTGTCAAATGTAAAATTGTTGTCAAGTGTATGGTTATTAATGTCAAGTATACAATTGTATTAAAGTTTATGGTAATTGTTGTCATATGTGCAAATGTATGGTAATTGTTGTCAAGTGTATGGTATTTGTTGTCAAGTGTATGGTATTTGTTGTCAAGTGTATGGTTATAATTGCAAGATTTACCAATGTTTTTTCAGGTAATAAAAATAAGATATATTTTCAAAACAAATTTAGTTATGTTACTTTCTTTTACAACTGAATGAAATAACACAATACTTGTACTTGGGGAATTCTCAAAAAGTAGATTTTGCTGGGATATATGTTTTGGCAATAATTGTTCTGTTCCTTAATAACAAATAAAATTAAACTGCAGAGTTTAGAATATTTTAGACACTTGATGTGCTACATACCACTGCTTTGGGATGAAGCCAAGATATGATGCATTTTGTAACCCCAAAAGACCACTAAAGACTTATTCCAGCCATATACAACAAATATTTTGTGAAATAACCTCAATTAATATTGATAAAATATTTGAAGATAAAGTAATTTTGAGATAGTAGAGAATATTGCTGCTGCATTATTCTGTACAAGGGATAATGGGACCATTAAACAAAGTAGATATGCATCCTTAAGCTATAACAAGAGGGCCATAATGGCCCTGATATCGCTCACCTATATTTCTGTGAAGTTTGGATGAAATTGGCTTAGCGGTTTATGAGGAGGTGTCGTTTAAAGTAATAGTTTATGGACGCCAGATTGACAGACCCCAGATGGACGGACCCTGGACGAAAAGCAATCACTAAAGCTCACCAAGTCACTTTGTGACAGGTGAGCTAAAAACAATGCTGCCTGTACTCATGATAATAAAAATGACTGCTTTTAACTGCTATTCTGATGCAACAGTTATTTTTCATCATATCACTATTTTTTAAAAGGTACATGAAAGCAGAAATAAATACCTGGAATGGAAGTAGTTTCTGGAGGTTGGTATATATATCTTTAATTCTAGTTTTATCCAACAACAGCTTAGATACATTGTCCATCCTCTCTTTCATCAGTTTCTCCTCTGTCCCTACATATATTAATGATAATCATAATTTTTTTTAGTTAACAGAATTTACTACTGTTCTGTAAATAAAATAAATATTTTTCAGTTTTCTCTAGCATAGACCAAAGCATCCAATTGGTTGGACAAGTTTTTAATGATCAAAGTTATGATAACATTGACCTTCCTCAAGTGTCCTCAAAATAAACAGAGGTCAAACATGACAAATTTAACACCAAATCTTAGGGCTGTAGGCCAAAATGTTCTTAAGCAATTGGCCAGAATTGTGTGACCTTAACCGTTGAATCTGCACCCCAAAATCTTTAATACTAAGCCAAAATATTCTCCTGTTTTTGGTCAGACAAGCTTTAAGTGGTCAAGGGGTCAATCAATCAATCAATCAAATGAATAAAATTTGCTAAGGATAATCTACTAGTCATGACAAATCTCAACACCACAACTGAATTGTAGGTCAAAGCAATATGTAGTAATTGGTTGGACAAGCTGTAAATGGCAAGGCCATGGTTATCAGGAACTGACAGACTGAACTCAAAATCAATACTGGTTATCTATTAGCCATGACCGACCTCTACACCATATCTTAGGACTGTAGTCCATAATGCTCTATAGCAATGAGACAAGCTTTTAGAGGTCAAGGTCACTATGACAGGTAAACAATTTTTTTTCACTTCTCCACTTGAGCATTTTTGACATTAACTTACTTTCATCAACTTCATCCACAGCTGTTTTGTCTGTTAAAATCTGATTACTGATATGACTACCTTTAGCAGTATGTTTAGTCTTGTCTTCACCAGCTGAAACTTTTGTCAGTAATGGATTTCCACCTTTACCTTCCTCTTGATCTTTTCTTATCTTGATTCCAATGTCACACGCGTTAACAACAAAGTTGTCTTGAGCATTAAATATCCTGATATCATCACAAGTGCAATCTTCAGCTCGTCTCAATGATAACAATGTGCGGGATGCTATCCCCGCCACCGTACCTGGTAGTGCGTCTGATGTCTGGTGGGCTTGATCCAAATCAGGAATTACAACTGTGGAGTGGTTTGTGCTAATATGTGTACTACCAGTACTAACGTTACTCTCTGACTTTTCAACACCCTTCAATTTATCTGAGTCACCTGTAACCTTTGTTGAACTTGTACTTGGTCCACTTAAATCTGTCTCGTGTTCTTCTTTATCTTTTGGGATTTCTTTGGAGCATTTCTTGCTCGCAGGTTTGTCAACAGTCTCCTTATTAACCTCTTGATCAGTTTGACTTGTTGTATTTGTTTCATCTTCAATATCCATTGCATTATTTTCAACTTTATCATCTGTGTTAGAAAGTTTTGACACTTTACCATTTGTATCTTTCTCAGCATTTTCATCTTCTTTACTCTGTTCTGCTGAACATTCTGACAGTTTATCTCTGCTAGATTCAGGATGTTTTATTTCTTGTAATATCTTATCTCCCTTTGTTTGTGAGGATGAGTTCTTACCACGTCCCCATGGAAACTTATAGAAGCCTTCCATATCAACAATAACAAGTTCCTGAGGCATGGTGATTTTCAGATCAAGCTAGAACAGGAAAAAGACAATTCATTTTATATATGTTGTGTTGAGAAGTCAATAAAACTACTCAGGTTCTCTAAAGCCATCCATACAAAGGTTGACATCATACAAACTTAAATGAAGCTACTAATACAACAAGAGCCATGTCAACATGGCCATCCCCCGCCGAATGTGTTTGCTCATTGGAAGAATGTATATGTAGTAGAGCAGAATAACTCATTTTAAGAGGTCTTTTGGTAATGAAAACTGATGGCTATAGTGATTACAGATTTACTAATTATTTATTATTTATTTATTTTCATTTAAAAAGTACAAGTTTAAAAGAGAATAAAAACATGCTTACCCTCCTGTTGAGAATCAATGGAAACAGTGCTGCACATTCACCACTTTTAGGATGAAATGGCAGGGTAAACATTTCATCATCTCCTTCACCATGGATGTGTTTATCACTTAATTCACTTATCAACTTTGCACTCTCTTCAAACATAACACTCAAATATTTATGCTTGAACTGATAAAGGTACCTGAAACATTAACTTCACAATTGAGCTACTAAATTTGAAAGCAAAAGGCTAAATCTAATAAAATTGGATAAAAAAATATTAACAGTTTTCTTTACCTTTTATTGAAGCAGCTTTTATTACTGTCTCACAGGGAAAAAAAGTAGATTATTTTGAATTGCAAAACTAATTAAGAATGACACTTTTTTACCAACCTAACAAAACAAGACCCCAGCACAACAAAGAATGAATTTGTACGTAAAAAGACAACCATTATGCCATGCACTAGAAGCACATGTGCATAAACTGTTTAAACAATCTGCATGGATAATTTTGATTGAGAATATATATTTTCTTTATTTGTTTGTTTGTTTGTTTGATTGGGTTTTATGTCACACCGACACAGTATAGTTCATAATTATGATATGTTCCAGCTTTACTTGTGGTTTCCTTCCGTGAATTATTATAGGCACGACCAGGCACCCAAGTAGAACCACCGACGTTCCGTAAGCTACCTTCTTTTATTTAATCAATAGGTAAGTATGTACAATACTAAAAAAGTATATTTTAGATTTATTGATTAGATAGCTCGCAAAACATCATATTTTTATATAATGGCTAATTAGAAATTTAACCAAATCACTTTGATCACTAACATATGCACATGTCCTTCATCACTCATAAAGAAATATATACAATAATTACCTCTGTGCAACTTTAAAATTTCTAAGACCCATTCCTGCCTGTAACTGATTTACAGAATCACGCTGGGAGTTCTGCAACAACAAACAAGAGCTGTCGGTAGGACAGCATGCTCGACTATTCTTAGTGCTTGATAGTAAAAAAAATGCCTGATACAGTTACCTCCTCCTGTTTACAGGTTGGGGTCATGATGGTGAACAAGTGTGCAAAGTTTCAAAGCCATATGTCAATGGACTTTGAAAATATTTGAACTATTACAAAAACTTTAACGTAAATTCTAAGTCGAAAAAGGGGCATAATTCTGTCAAAATGCTTGATAGAGTTACCTCCTCCTGTTTACAGGTTGGGGTCATGATGGTGAACAAGCGTGCAAAGTTTCAAAGCCATATGTCAATGGACTTTGAAAATATTTGAACTATTACAAAAACTTTAACGTAAATTCTAAGTCGAAAAAAGGGCATAATTCTGTCAAAATGCTTAATAGAGTTACCTCCTGCTGTCTACAGGTTGGGTCATGATGTGAACAAGTGTGCAAAGTTTCAAAGCCATATGTCTATGGACTTTGAAAATATTTGAACTATTACAAAAACTTTAACGTAAATTCTAAGTCGAAAAAGGGGCATAATTCTGTCAAAATGCTTGATAGAGTTACCTCCTCCTGTCTACAGGTTGGGGTCATGATGGTGAACAAGTGTGCAAAGTTTCAAAGCCATATGTCAATGGACTTTGAAAATATTTGAACTATTACAAAAACTTTAACGTAAATTCTAAGTAGAAAAAGGGGCATAATTCTGTCAAAATACTTGATAGAGTTACCTCCTCCTGTCTACAGGTTGGGGTCATGATGGTGAACAAGTGTGCAAAGTTTCAAAGCCATATGTCAATGGACTTTGAAAATATTTGAACTATTACAAAAACTTTAACGTAAATTCTAAGTCGAAAAAGGGGCATAATTCTGTCAAAATGCTTGATACAGTTACCTCCTCCTGTCTACAGGTTGGGGTCATGATGGTGAACAAGTGTGCAAAGTTTCAAAAGCCATATGTCAATGGACTTTGAAAATATTTGAACTATTACAAAAACTTTAACGTAATTCTAAGTAGAAAAAGGGGCATAATTCTGTCAAAATACTTGATAGAGTTACCTCCTCCTGTCTACAGGTTGAGGTCATGATGGTGAACAAGTGTGCAAAGTTTCAAAAGCCATATGTCAATGGACTTTGAAAATATTTGAACTATTACAAAAACTTTAACGTAAATTCTAAGTCGAAAAAGGGGCATAATTCTGTCAAAATGCTTGATAGAGTTACCTCCTCCTGTCTACAGGTTGGGGTCATGATGGTGAACAAGTGTGCAAAGTTTCAAAGCCATATGTCAATGGACTTTGAAAATATTTGAACTATTACAAAAACTTTAACATAAGTGGTTACGCCGACGCCGACGCTCGGGTGACTGCAATAGCTCTACTTATTCTTATCGAATAGTCGAGCTAAAAAATCATACTCATGTAAGAATTTTGGTTAGAGATATGCCTATCCTTGAAGTAATTTTACAGTGACTTGTTGTTTAAAACAAATGGGACTAAGAGTAAGTTCCTTATAAATATATAATTAACAAACAAGCCACACAAACACAAACATTTAGTAATTATTTATTGCATACGTTTCAGCTACATGCATATAAATATATATAAATATATATGAATAGATACAGTTCTTTGACATATGAAAGAACATTGTACTGATATTACTACTGAATTCTTAGTAATATTAAAAAGAAAAGTAATGGAATAATTATTTCATTCTATGACGTTCTTATAACAATAATGGAAGAACAATTATCTGAGCAGGGGTAAAGAAAGTATACACAAGGAAGTACTGACATTTATATATAGTAACAGAACTATTATCAGACAATTACAGTCAGGGACTATTATACTGATGTGTCTAATTATACATTGTCTAAGAGAAAAACAAAATGGCATTATGTTCTATCTAATTAAACTTATTTAAAAAGTTAGGGAACTTTTTTCTAATAATGGTAAATTATATTTACTTCTTGACGGCTGTAAATAATTAAACCAAGAGGACATTACACTCACAGAGTCAATCCTTAAAATGTATTAATTCTAAAGTACATAGATGTCACATCACTGAAATGTTAATTTTTCCTACCATTACATATAATGCACAACACAAAATATATATATATGGTACATTTACAGGTGCTGAATTATATAACCAATTTCAATGTCTAATAAACTTGGCATTCAACTTTATGATCAATAGCTATGATTAATCAGGACAGTATATATTATATATATGCAAGTAACCTACTTAGTTTAAGTGTCATAGAAATGAGACTGAAAGAATCTTGACTTATTTGCCAGTGTGATGAACGAAAGTTTTAGGTCTAAAAAGGGCAAAATTAAATCAAAATCCATGACAGATAATTGAGATTTATTTATTCTTGCCTACAATACATCATTGCCATCTGTCAATCAAATCAACAAATATCCTTTTCTGGCACGACCCTCAATGCCAACATTACCATTTACTTCACTATTGTCCTCAGACAAACATTTAATGTGAGGCAATACATTATGTAGTGTGATAATTATTAGAAATTTTAAAAAGGACATTTCATTTCCAAGAAATAACAGTAGAAAATAATGAGTAGGTGTCATTTAGAATTATGTAAATTACATATCATTATATTAAATAACTATTTTTATACGTAGTCATATGTCATCTTGCCACTCTCACATCAGCTTAGATTTATGTAGTGTAAATGTTTATTGTGATAAAAGAAAATCTTGGTCTATAATGATATATATTTCTTATTTTTAAGATAAAATAGATGAGTAGAGTATATTTTATTTAAAATTTGATTCAACAATCAATGAGAAAACACAATCAAGCCTGGACATTTTTCTTGTATTTTCATTTTTAAATACAGCTTCACAATGTATTGATCATTCATCTTTTAAACTAATTAAAAATCTTAGTATCATAATAGATTATATACTAGATAGATGTAATTAAATAACAAGACCTCTGGTGAGGTGCGGAGATATACATATATGAATGCCTGTTTACAAATTCATGAAAAGGTTTAATAGACGAAAACATGTTTTGCAACGGCAAAATAATTCATAGGTGTAAAATTTATAACACATGACAAGTTTTCCTTTGCTGTGAAAGAAAAAGTTTACAGTATATTTTATGGTGATAAAATGACATAAAATAGAATGATATTAAACTTAATTTATTGATTCTGTCTGAGTTAACAACTATTGTTCAAAAATTAATCATTTCAAATTTAAATTTATTTTAAACAGACATAAAAAATGTAAAATTGAAATACTCCAGAGTGTGAACATTTCTCAGACATATGGTAATTATTAACTTCATAGCACAAGGCAGATCTTTTAACAGCATCAACAACTGATTCTGTTTTGAAGATAATGTGTTATGTTTGTAAATAAGTAGTAAGTAAGTAAGTAATTATTTTATTTAATGAGGCAACAAAGTTGGACAAGCCCAGTCATCCCCTGTAGATAATTTATATAATGCAGTACATCAAGAATATATCAAATATTAACATGAGTTAGTTGATACATTCAACAGTAAAACAATAATAAAACAATATATAGAACAAGGACATGAGTTACATGTACATTCATGACATCAGCATTGAAAGTTTTCATATACATGTATATAAAACAAAAATATTCAATTAATATACTCTATATAGATGTATATGAAAATATCTACAAAGTATCAAAGCAGAGGTTCCCACAAGTAAACCACCATGTTAAGTATCTCTTTTTGAATATTGTTAGACTGTCTGACTGCTGGATATATGATGATAAGTTGTTCCAAATTTTAGACCCAGACTATGAAAGAGAACAGTTTTAGACCCAGAGTATGAAAGAGAACAGTTTTAGACCCAGAGTATGAAAGAGAACAATTTTAGACCCAGAGTATGAAAAAGAACAGTTTTAGACCCAGAGTATGTAAGAGAACAATTTTAGACCCAGAGTATGAAAGAGAACAGTTTTAGACCCAGAGTATGAAAGAGAACAGTTTTAGACCCAGAGTATGAAAGAGAACAATTTTAGACCCAGAGTATGAAAGAGAACAGTTTTAGATCCAAAGTATGAAAGAGAACAATTTTAGACCTGGAGTATGAAAGAGAACAATTTTAGACCCCGAGTATGAAAGAGAACAATTTTAGACCCCGAGTATGAAAGAGAACAATTTTAGACCCCGAGTATGAAAGAGAACAATTTTAGACCCAGAGTATGAAAGAGAACAATTCTAGACCCAGAGTATGAAAGGACTTTACTTAGCTAGTTTTGTATTTGTAAGTGTGTGTTAGATAAATGATCTAAGAGCTGTGTGGTTATTATAAGAGAATAATTTAGAAATATAATCCGGTGACTGATTGTTGTGGGATTTGTAAACCAGAACTACCTTTTTATAGTGGATGTGGTCACATATTCTTACCCAGTTCAATTCATGAAACAATATTACTGAAGATGAATCAATGTTTGTCTAGAATAATGGGGGCAGCTCTCGATGATGTTCAGTCATTCAGTATTACAGTTTGTAACATGATGTTTTTTGACTTGGAGCACATATACACATTTCAGATCTGCATTAATACCTTAATATTTAAGGTCAGTATACAATATTAAAAAAATGTTTCTTATTTTTACTTCAAACTGATGACGATACACATGTGTGCAAAACTATTTAAGGCTTGGTCATTATATTTTTGTTTTACAGCCATTGCCGGATGATTGTGTGGGACAGCCCACTTAATAATATCTTTCATGACTAGTCAATTGATGGTAACAGTCAGTAATAAAACTTACAAGCATTTTCTCAAAATAGTTCACTGAAAAATAAGTTAAGTAATTGGCAATGCTGTATTGATCATTTGTAGGAAAAAGTTGTACATATTACCTTAAATGGTAAGCCATTAGTAAGACAATTGTTGTTGTGATATATGTATTTCCTGTATCTTTACTTTCCTTTTACATAAATATCTTCTTTTTTATTATAAATGACAACTGATGAGAACTTTTTTATAAATTTTCTCCTACAAGTCTCTTTCCCCAGACAAAAAAAATATGTTTTCATTAGAAACACTTTTGCAATCCTTAAATAGAAATGTATATAATTACATTAAATGTACGCTTTTGAAAGACAATAAAATAGATTTTCCTGGAAATAAGCTATTTTTGATTTCTACAAGCCATTTTTTCATTACCCCCTTGACATAAGTAATCTTACAATAATATAAACCTAAAATCTCTATTTTCTTCCCTTTTACTTTATATATAATACATGGTATGCAAATATCTACATTCCTACTACTTTCAAGGATGAAAATAACACAAAATTGTTATAGTAACCAATGGCAATAAGGAAAAAAAAAACAGAAATCATTGATTTTCTACAACAATAAAGTATAATGTACTTTCAAACTGAAATTTTAGTCTGTCATAAAAGTCTTAAATTGACTTAAAATCTAGGACATTCATATGGAAAAATGCCCCAAACATTCCTTTCAACATTATAATTCACTTATCTCTCACTAGTGTATGGCATTTATATGTTGTTTTCTGTTTCCATGCCTCTGTAATTGAATTCTTAAAATCAAATTTGTAAATATTTTGCCTATAAAGTTTCCTAGATGTAAAATATCATTGTTAAACCAATCCTACATAACCTAGTTTGATATAACTTAACACAATCAGTAATTACATCAAACATGATACCATACCATCACTTATAGAAGTTACAGCTAAAACCTTACATTTTAAACAAGCACTATAACAACATTATTACTGACTGGTAAAAAAGAGCTCATAACTTACATGATGCAGACATTTTTTCCCTACAAAATGAGTAATTAACATTACCAATTAACCATGTACAGAATCTGATGTTTGTGTAATAAACAGACAGGATAGATAGACAGACTGACACCATCAAAATAAAAGCCCTTCCATTAAAGCATGGTATAATAATCATGCTGCTTGTCTAGAACTGAAACTATTATTTAACCACTAAAAGCAGCTATTTTTATGGGCAGCTATTATTGGCATCTATTATCAGCTATTGTGAGAAGCTATTTTTGACAGCTATTGTGGGAAGCTATTTTTGACAGCTATTGTGTGAAGCTATTTTGACAGCTATTGTGAGAAGCTATTTTGACAGCTATTGTGAGAAGCTATTTTTGACAGCTATTGTGGGAAGCTATTTTTGACAGCTATTGTGAGAAGCTATTTTGACAGGTATTGAGAGAAGCTATTGTGAGAAGCTATTTTGACAGCTATTGTGAGAAGCTATTTTGACAGCTATTAAGGATAGCTATCATTGGCAGCTATTATGGGGACAGCTATTATTGGCAACTGCTATTGTGGGAAGCTATCAATGACAGGTATTTCGGACAGCTTCAACTGGCAGCTATGATTGGCAACTATTAAAGACAGCTATAGTGGCAACTTCACTATATTTATTACCTTCTTGTTTATCACAAAGAGACCATCAGTCCTCAGTTCTCTAACAACAGCAGAAAGTAGGGCATCTGGATACTGACTGAGCAGCTTGAACATCTCGTGCGTTCTACCTTGTTTATCTTGTAACAATACAGCACTCTACAATAAATATACAACAAGTCTTGTAATACATCATTCTTAAGGAAATCAGGTCTGATCCACCTATTATTTCTAGGAAGTGTGACAATGTCTTTTCAAAATAGCAAAATTACTGTAAACTAAAATTTCTCCTGAATTTGTCAAAGTCACATAATTATTTTGTATCAAAGTTAAACGACCTCATCACACTTTTAGCTAAGTAAAACAAAGCACAATTCCATGTATACTTATTATTCTAGACACATACTTTAGAGATCTGTAATTTGTCCCTTGATTGTGAGAGACTTTTAAGAAAAACTATCAGCATTACATGTTAGTCAGACAGAACAATACATCAAAATGTCTTCAAACATTTTAACCATTAGCAAGCATTGAAACATTATCTGATAATTTTGATAAACTACATGAAAGAATTACCCTAGTGACTTGACAGACACACATATTAAGAACTAGTTTTATCCATATATTCACATGCTTCTACAAACACTGCTTTGTATCTGATGTCATTACCAAAATACTAGACAGTATCTTGGCATATACATCAGTTTTAGATTTCTCCCACCTTAATTCACTTTAAATTACTTGAATAACACTATTTGAGACATTAAGCTCAGATTAGACTGTCTACAGGATTACTTTATTACTGTAGGCAATTTACAGAGATTAACTCACATGTAAGATATTTCTCAGCACATCTTGACAGATCTCAGTTTTATTCTTCACATCATGGTACACTTTACGAGGCTGAAGTTTTCCAATGTACTGAATGCTATAGTTCTGTCTAAGATCTTCTAGGGTATCTGGTAGGCAACATTTCTGTAAATCTAACGATCTGTAAAACAAAACAACATAAGTCTTTATACAGATACAGTACCGGATATCCTTCTGTATAAAACATTGTTCTTGATATAAATACTGTATACCCTCCTCTATCTAAGCAAACAGAGGTATATTTGACAAGTATGATATGTTTACTCACCAGAACTGTTCAAACACTTGACCAATTTCTTAAAAGGGCTTGACCAGCTTCAATATTTATTCTCCCCAAAAATGCAGACAAACTCAACTAGAAATATGCCTATAGGACACATATACCATCACTTCATATACTTTCGTAGTGGCATATTTAACATACATATGCTTTGCTTATTAAGGTATAACAGAATACAAGCATAGAGCCAAACCAGACTGCATATTTGTGCAGTCTGATGATCAAGCTCTATACTTTTTCAAAAAGTGTTACTGTCCCCTTGTCCTTGACCAAATGACCTAATATTGGATAATAGTCATCCCCTGGCCATGAGGAATGTCTGTACAAAGGAATATAATCCAACATTTGTTCTTACTTAAATTATTGATCCAACAAGGATTATACACAAAGTGTAAATGTGACCTTCACCTTTGACCTAATAACCTCAAATATTAAAAGGGATCCTGTAAGTTATGGTTTATTCCTTCTCTAGTCATTGACTTGATAAGGACAAAAGTATGTAACTTTGGATAAATATGGACAAACAAATGACCCCCATCGCAGTATGCTCCCACTTTTAGACAGAATACTTGCAGCTCTTCAAGCTAGCTAGACTATCAATCACTAATTATGGAAGTACACTGAATCAAGATGAAAATTTAAGTAAATCAGTCAACAGTCTACAGCCTTGTCATACAACATGCATGTTCTTGGAGCTATTAGCAAATGCTAATTACTTTCAGTCCAAGCATTTAACCTTTATTTAAACCTTGTAACTCCTTAAAGTTGTTTAACCTCTACTTACCCGGCTACAGAATGTCCATGGATTTCCATGGATATAAGCATGGACAGTGTCCATGGAGTATTGAAACACTTGTCCATGGACAATTCTTTATATCCCTGGACAGTGTCCATGCTATCCATGTCCATGCTTTCCATGGCCATTGTCCATGATACCCATGGACAATGTCCATGATGTCCATGGACAATGTCCATTCTTACCATGGACAATGTCCATTCTTACCATGGACAATGTCCATTCTTTCCATGGACAATGTCCATTCTTTCTATGGACAATGTCCATTCTATCCATGTTCAAAACCAATTTTGAGGAATCTTTTATGACATCCATGGTCATTGTCCATGATATCACACTTGTGTTGAGATACCTGTTTAAAAGTCTGTAAAAAAAGGACCCACACAATCTTTTTCACTTGGGAGTTGCACTAGTGTAACAATGATTTTGAATTGACAAGGCTGTAAAATTATGACACATTAAAGATTTATTTACACCATATATGAAGTAAAACAAGTTCTCAAATGTTCTCATTTATATTGTTCTGAATGGCTAAAACGGCCACAGTTTATTTTGTACACATATTTATTGTTTCACTGTTTTGTTGGCATGAGATGGCTTGACAATGTCACGCAGCTTTTCCCTGACCATCACTGGTGTGACATGCGGAAAATTCCTTTTGATGATATCTGTAAAGAACATAACAAATTATATAAATATTGACTTGACAAATCAATGTAATATACTTAACCCTTGAATATAACAATTCAAATTATCTACATGGACGAGTAGCAATTTGAAGACACTTAAAGTCCTACAAGACGATTGGCTATGAAAAAAAATTTCAATCCCTGTTAAAAACTTCCAATGAAATTCAAAAACTTTCAATGAAATTTAAATAACCAAAAAACAAAAAAAGAAAAGAAACACTGACCGTAACTTCCTGTCAACTTTTCTTGGTCAACAGGTGGCCTTTTTTCGCCACTTTTCGCCCTGTCAATGATTTTCCGGCATATTCCTCCTCTTAATACAAAAAGCAGAATAGAACAATGGCCATCTTACTGTAGCTTGTTTTGCCAATAACCTTGCTCTGAAGTTGGTCCTGAAATGTAATATTGGCATTTTCAGTTCTTTTGGATTCTTTGTTATCAATTTTAGTACTGACATCATTTGTAGCATTTTTGAGCTTAATTCATAACATAACACCATTTGCATTAACGATTAACGAGGTTTCCCTTAACAACATAATTAGTATTGTTTAAACATGATTGATAAAAAACATGAAAGGGTAAAAAAAGTTAAGATGGAAAACTTTCAATTAAATGATTTTTGCAGAATATCAGCACAGAGTTATCAAGTAAACACCATGCTTTGATGAAAATGATTCATTTTTTGGTCAAAATCAACATTATGATAAACTTGTGTCAATTATTTCCCTGCTTTTCCTATATTTATATAATGACAACTTTTATGTTATGGCAGTTTAAATTACTCAATCCTTCACAAGTACTTAATTACCACTGAAAGTTTGAGATTTGTTCAGTGGAGTCAGTATAACAATAATATATGTATAAAACATGAAGAACAACATTTTGTTCAGACTTTGGAAAATAACATGCATTTATATGAAAACATGTTACTTCGGACTTTTTTCAACAAAACAAACTAAATTATTACCAGGATGGTTTTGTAAGCATTCTGTATTCAACAGTACATTTATCACTTTTCCCTCATCTGACATCCTTTGAGTTGAAACATCTCATGTGACTCCAAGACTTGAAAGTTTGCAACCTAATATGTTGAAAAAATAAACATATGTACATGAGTAACAAGAAATTACAATTAAGGCATATTATGAATTTTATTAAATGTGAATTTGGAAATTCATGGCTTGATCAATCACCAATATTTTGAATGTAAAATTGTAATCTCTGATTTAAAATTTCCCGCCATTATTTAAAAATGAAAAAGATTTCCTTAACTATTTATATTGAAAAGTTACATGTATGTAGAAATACAATAACTGAAACAGTGTATATTTGCAAAGAAAGTTTGAAAAAACTAAAATAATAAGTGTTAAAAAATAAAAATACATTTGTACTTACTGTAAGAAATGGTTATATACATGTAGTTCCCTCCATTATAACTGAATCATGAAATACACATGTTTAAAAGTTCATATTTCCAGAAAACTCTTGTAAATTTGTCCAGTTTAAACTCATTTGGTCTAATTTCCAATGCTCCAACATAATATTTCAAGTTATAACTTTTAAGCAGTATAGGCACTAATAAACATTATCTTTCAATGCTTCTGTTCAAATGACCCGCCTGGAAGGAGTGTTCTGACCTGTGATTTGTTCTGCAAGGGTATTAAGTTACTTGGGAGCTACAGTGTAATATAGTATGTTGTAAACCTGCTTTACCTCTTTCTATTCTCTTATATCAGATAGGTGAGTTTAACTTTGGTAGTTATGAAAACAGCAGGTTCCACTTGAGGGGTCATAAATGTTTACATTGTGGCTGATGCTAATTTGAATGTTCCAGAAATTAATCACTATACATAAGTTACATCTACACAGGATGAATATATAAATTATATATACTTCAATAGAGATACATAATAATAATTAATTTATCATCAATTAATAAATAAATATAAGTGCATAACAATTACATTTGTTCTTAAATTTAAATTGTTTCTATTAAATTGTGCATTTATTTTTCTAACTTTATTAGGGTAATATATGATAATGAACCACAAAAACAGAAACAAACAAACCTAAACAAGTCTACAAGTAGTGAGACTAGATTATCTTTTTATATAATTGAAATGGTATGCATAAGGGTACAGTATATTTTTCTATATTATCATTTAACTGAAGTTTGGAATTTAAAAAAAAAATAAAATAAAAAAAAATCTACTTGATCTTACTATATTTGATTTCTTCTTTTCATGCTGAATAATTTGATACCCAATATGAACATATAATTTTTTGAAGAATGGCAGTTATGATTTTTTTAAACATTTTTCATGTTTTGGCACTTAGATTTTTTTTGCATATCCATCCAATCACTTTTGATAAAAATTTCTAAGTATGAGCAATTAAGTTGACCATGGACAATGTCCACATTAGACATAGTTTTTTTGTACTATGTCCATGAACATTTTTATATTCCCTGGACACTGTCCATGTTATTCATGGACATCGTCCATGTTATCCATGTTGTTAGTATGGACACTGTCCATTCACTTGACTTATCCATGTATTTCCATGCTCTTTCCATGGATATCCATGGATATCCATGGTCATTTTAAGGCTGTCCATGGACAATCTGTAGCCGGGTAAGAAGCTCTACAACTTAAAATATAGAAAATTCACTTCATAAAACACATGTACCCCGGTATATTAAATTAACAAGAATAAAATAGTCTTAAAAGATATTACATTTTTCAAAGTCAATTACTTCAGTTATTAATCTTGGTCTATATCACATTTGAATGCTTAGACTTCCTGCTTGTAATGAAACTAAATTCTAAGAAACTCAATCAAATGCCAAATTGTTAAATAAACAACATTTATGTCATGTAATTTCATGGTTACAGGAAAATGTAGTTATTTTCCTGCCATTATACAGAATGTGTAATGAAAAAAATACTACTTAATTTACATATAATACATTTTATGTCTTTATCAAAGACAAGAATGTCACTCCATTTCAACATATAGTAAGTCTGTTATGACCAAACATTACTTAGAGCTGAATACTGTTATTTGTTAACCAAATATAGTTATCTTACACTGTATATGTTTTCTATATTACAATAATTTACCAGTAAGCACAGGTTTTTCTTATGATTCTAAATGATACAAATCCATGGCAAAAGATAATACTGACTGTATAATGTTCTATGATCAGTATAATCTTTAATGTATGTACTTATTTTAAACTATAAATTTGTTAATAGGACAGTGATGCCCCAATATTCTAGTTTCGTAACCAGCATGACAGATGGTCAACGTATATCTTTCCTGAATAGTGGGGGCATTAAAAAACACTTTCATCA